GTTCAGACTCTTACATGGGAGTTCCTGCGGAGGTTTTGTCATTAGTGATGGATGAGGAGAGCAAGTTACTGTGGACACTGCGGAAGTAACGGGAGGAAAGTTGGGGAGACAGTCCAGCTAATAAAACACCTGCTGTGCAAGCGCGAGGACCTGAGTTCAATTCCCAGAACCCACATAAAGACAAAACAAAAATTTAAAAAGTCTGGGGTAATGGCACAAGTCTATAATCTCAGTTCTGGGGAGGTGGAGGCAGGCAGATCCCTGGGGCTCACTAGCCAGCCAGACTTGTCTACTTAGCAAGTTCTAGTCCAGTGAGAGACCCTGTCTGATAAATAGATAGCTAGACAGACAGACAGATGATAGATAGATAGATAGATAGATAGATAGATAGATAGATAGATAGACAGACAGATAAGAGGTAAATGGCTCCCAAGGAAAGTCACTTGAGTTGTCCTCTGGTCTACATATATACTACATATGGGTATATGCGCAGCCACATTCACAGACAAATATGTGTAAACATGCACATGTATTAACATGCACACAAATACCCACTCAAAAAGAAGTAGGCCAGTTAGGACACAGGCAAGCCATACCACTTTCTACTTTTTCGTGTGAGGAAAGATGGCTGTGTGGTTTCCAACTAGAGGAGATAGTCTTTGCTCTTTGTTCCTTCTGTTAACAAACAGCAAACAGGAATTGTTGATTTTTTTTTGTCACTGTTCCTCAGTGCGTGAATTCAGCAAGCTTCTGTTGGCATCCCAGCATCTGATGCTGTTCTCTCAGTTGGCAGCCTAGGGCTAACAGCACTTCTCTGGCCTCGAGAGGGTAACAGTTGGTGGGAAAGTGGAAAGAACACACCATTTGTGATACAGTGTGACAAGTGGATGCCACAGGCCACACAAACACAAAATACCAGTGGATAAAATAAGCTCTTGAGTGAGGTACAGAGCATCTCTCCTGTTCTGGACTGTGTAGAGGGACTGTGCACACAAGGAAAATCAGCCCCATGGTGGCAGCTCCGGACTGGCAATCGGAGAAGAACTGGGATGACTTTGGCCTCTATGGTTTGAATGAGGTGTGTTCTCTCTGAAACTCAGCTAATTTATAATCTCCACTGTAGGTCATTAGTAAGGAGGAGAGGAGTATCTGACAACGTGCTTAGGAATCAGACCTCTGGGAAGAGTCTAGGGTTAGAAAGCAACAGGGTAGAAGTCCCATTGCTGACTGTTAGTGGCTTTGTAGAAGAGAGATCGGGACACACACGCGCGCGCACACACACACACACACACACACTACTGTTCCTGGGTGTATGATACCTGTCATTGCTCTGTGATACTGCCAGTAAGAAAGTGACCACCACAAGCCACAACACCCTTTTTTTCTCTAACATGTACCCCATCTGTTATCTTGTGCTATCAGCAAGAGAAAAATGGCCTAAGACAGAGCTGAAGCCTTGGTTAAACTTGGAAAGTTTGAGAAATGGTGTAAGAGAATTTGTACTAAGGGATCAGCTCAAGCAAAGACACAAAGTCAGAGACGGTGAGTTCTCATAGCAAACCATCCACCCAATGCACGTTCACCGGGCATCTGTTTTATCAGGGACTTTCAGAGGTACTGGGAACAGTGTTGAATCCAACAGACAGATGCCTGCTTTGATGGGGCTGCCACCCCAGCAGAGCAGCTAGAGAAAAAGACAAATAAAGAATGCAGCATGCTAGGCGAGGTGTATGAAGAGAGGAAAGGAAGAAAAGGAAAGCCTAGTGGCGGGATGGGGGATGGTCTAAAGGGCAGCATGCAAGGAAGAAGAACACTCGGTCTTCTCTCCTTAACGTTGTATGGGAATGCTCGTCTTCCAGGTGTTTGCCTGAGGGATCATCCAGAAACCAATCCCATCACTCCTGTGCTTATAATCATTTGGAGTTCACTGGCTTTCAAAAGTGTCTTTTATTGTGTGCATGTATGGTGTGTGTGTGTGTGTGTGTGTGTGTGTGTGTGTGTGTGTGTGTGTGTGTGTAGGGGCTGCATGCATATGCACAGATTGCAAGTGAAGGTCAAAAGACAACTTTGTGTAGTTGGTTCTTTCCTACCATGAATTCCAAGGATTGTACATGTACTCAATAGTTTTGATTGTCAACTTGATACAGTGTAACAATACCAGGGAAGGAAATCTTGGTAAGGAGTTAATTAGATTAGCTTGGCCTGTGGGCATGGGTAAATGTGGGTGGAGCCATTTCAAGTGCTGGGCCCTGGACCAGATGAGAAGGAAGGAGTGGTCTAACCCCTAGCAGGCATGCATTAATTCACTGTGGACGTTGGCTAGCCTCTTGACTCTCCACATGGACGGACTGCACTGGAACTCTACTACACCCTTCTCCTTTAAGTTGCTTTTGTCAGGATATCATTTCACAGCAACAGGAAACAAAGCAAATGCTGTTACCTCCCGAACTATGATGCCAGCCCTGTTCGCTGGTGTAAGTGCCATTTCTAACCTTCTTGGCACGCATTTGTGGTGTGTCCTCTCCCTACCTCAAGCATCCCTTCTCCTGGAGTAGACTGTCTCTCCACAGTCTTCTTCCCTTTCATGCGTCCCCTCAGGAGTCAGGTAATTGATTCCAGGGAAGTTGGAGCCACCACAGCCCTGGCACCGCCTCCTAGCCTATCCACGTAACCCACACCTAGACAGAGTGACTGGACTGTGGACTGATCCAGATAGGATTGTTCCCGGAAGGCTGGCATGTGGCGTGCTAAGCACACATCGTGTGTGAGTGCCACTCCTCTTAAGGTAGACATCAGTGGTCATGGGGAAAATCTACCTGGAGATAAGCATGGATTAGAAAGTAGAAGGAAGAACCAGACATGGAGGGAGTCAGCATCTGAGCCCTGAGGAAGAAGAAGAAGGTGTATGACTGTATGAGAACATCGGGTTGTCGGTGTACAGAAACAGCGAGGAACAAATCCTCAGGCCCCACCTCAAACCTGCTGAACCGGGAACTTGGGAGCAGGGTCCAGCCACCTCTTTCTATAAACTGAGTAAATGATTCTGATGCTTGTTGAACGTTTGGAAGCCACAGTCTGGTTTAGTTACCTCTGCCAGTAAATCTGCTTACTAGTTAAGGCCACTGGATTGGGTTTTGCTTCCCTAGGTCACCTGCACTTTGAACTAGTAGGACTCTGATGTCATGACAAATACAGTTTTAGTTGTGTCCTTCATGTCCCTGGGAATCTGCTTAGTGTGTATGTGTGTTTGGGGGCGGGGCATGCTTTTGCCTCTGGGTGAAAACTTAGAAGAGCCTTGTTCTCTTTGCCTTTTTTTTTCTTTTTAAGGTCTTTGCTTATTAGAACAAAACATACATACCATAAAATTTTATCCTGCTGACACAGGCGTACCGGTCAGTAATGTTAAACACTCTCACCATGCTGTGTGCTTGGTACCATCTTTCATCCCCAAATAAACGTTGCTCCCAATAAACAGTGACTCACCATCTCTCCTGTCCTTGGTATCTGGTAACCACCATTCTTCCTTGGTGCATTTGTCTACTGGAGACACTCTGGGGCGGTGCATAGACAGCACTTGTCCTTTTGTTACTGGCTTCTTGCGTGATGTCATCCAAACTTGTCCATGCTGTTGGATGGATGAGGGTTTCTTGTCTGGTGAGGGCTGAATGGCAGTCTGCTGTATGCACACTCCACATTGTGCTTACCCATCACCCATCAGCAGATGCTTGGGTGGCTTCCAGCTCCTGGCTGCCAGGAAGACACATGCACAGATGTCTGCTGGAGCGGCTGCGTTCTCTTCCATCGTTCTTACCGTGGTTGCTTCACAATCCACTCTCACTTTCTACCCTCTTCCCTTCCGGTGCACTGAAATTGATTCTGGATACTTGGAATATTTTTCTCCTACTTTTCACATTTTTCCGAGTAACTCAGTACCCTGTTATGCAACTAAAAACACATGCTACACCCTTGTTATAGTTCTTTGTGAGTCATAGCTCTGCCCTCAAAGAGGAAGGGAAACTCATAGCCACTTAGTAAGCACAGGGATGGCCCCAGAAAGGCTTTTATATCTTAAAAAATTGGTGTAACAACTTTGCCGAACAATGACTCTTAGCTTTTACAGATGAGGAAACTCGGTTTCAGAGAAGATAAATAGCATCTCTCATCCCACAGCCCCAGATTAGAATCCTAACAGCTCTGTGGGTCTGTAGAGCAATTACATAATCTTTTCAACCTGCTCCAATTTCATGTCCAACTGGAGAGATGAAACTAAGTTACAGAGTACTGATGATAAATTTTAAAAAAGTGTTTTAAAGTTTTATTTTAATTTTATGTGTATGAATGCTTTCTCTCCATGTATGTATGTGTACCATGCACGTGCAGTGCCTCTGGAGGCCAGAACAGAGTATCAGGTTCCCTGGAACTGGGGTTACAGATGGTTGTGAGCCACCATGTGGGTGCTGGGAAATGAACTCAAGTTCTCAGTAAGACCAGCCAGCACTCTTAACCACTAAGCCAGCTCTCCAGCCCAGTGATCATAGATATTAAGAGTGGGAATACTTATCCACTGGTTGGAGATTAGTCTGCGTTGAAGATTGAACTTCCTCAGGACCTCGAAGAATCTGTGACATTTATAACAACAGCAGTTAAGAGAGAAAACATTCCTAGGGTGAGGACTATACTGGGGTGAAGGCAGAGAAGAGAGTTCACATGAGCTATGTGAGGGACAGAAACTAGCCCTTCTTAAGTAGAAAGTACCGGTTACAGAACACTAAGCAGAAAGTTCAGGTCAGAAGGTTCCATGAACTTTAGATCAAAACTGGAAGTGCAAGCTTTTGGAAAGCAGTGGCCTAACACCTGCACCAGAAGGAGGGGTGCACTTGAGGAGGCCTTACCCCAACTGGAAATCTTGGACAAGTCATTCAAACGCACACATGCAAGGTTTCCTCACTTGTAAAGAGGGATATTAATATCTACTTGGCACGGCTGTTGTAAGAATCTGTGATAATAGGTAAATATAGTGTTTGTCCCAGGCCTGACTCATAACTGCTCAGTCACACTACCAGTTGCTGTTGCCATCATCAACAGGGAAGCATGGTGTTTCCTGGTCTCAAAAGCATTGACCCAGAGTGCCATCTGAGGAAAACTTTTTGACAACAGAAGTCAGTCTGGAGTATAGAGGTGACATCAGTGGCTTTATAATTACTGGGAAGTGAGATTGTCAGCAGGGACCTAGAGATGGTAGAAAAGGCTGGAGCGGAAAGCGAGGAGCTAGCACCTCTCCAGGCCATGGGAACAAAGCCTTACAGAGAGGAAAAGTCCAGGACAATTTCACATTCCCAACAAGACAGAGGAGGAGGAGTGTGTCCACGGAACCAGGAACCAAAACTGAGGCAGGGGAGCTGATGGTCCGGGAGATGGGGTGGACATCACAATGAGGTTGTCACAATCCATTCCAGAATGTTGACTTTGATGTGATGATGGGACATTGAAAGAGCAAAGAGCATTGTGCTTCCATCACGCAGAGGGCAGCTGATACCAGAGACGCTGAGGAGACTCAGCATGCCTGAGAGACAGAGCACGGGAAGCACAGGACGGACCTACATGAACGGAGAGCAGCATTCTTCATGCTAAACATCGCATTGCTTAAATGACAGAAAACCAGGGTGACTGTTTTTTTTTTTTTTTTTTTTTTTTTTTTTTTTTTTTTTTTTGGTTTTTCGAGACAGGGTTTCTCTGTGTAGCTTTGCGCCTTTCCTGGAGCTCACTTGGTAGCCCAGGCTGGCCTCGAACTCACAGAGATCCGCCTGGCTCTGCCTCCCGAGTGCTGGGATTAAAGGCGTGCGCCACCAACGCCCGGCTGACTGTTTCTTTCCCGGGGAAGTCACAGAGACCTAGATACCACGGAACGTTTACTTAGGCCTCAGGATTGTTCTACGAGAAAAAGTGCCAAGTGGCCTGTGCTTCTGGACGAGGGAGAGAGGGGGCTGTTACAGAAAGCTGTGTTTTCCTGTGCTGGGGAGGATTGATATTTGTCTGCATATTCCTCATGTGTTAGCGGTCTGATGAGACATTAATCCAGCCCTGACTCTCATGCTAGGATGCTAACATTCAGTGAATATTTGTCTGGAAATTCTCTGCACACTTCCTGGTTGCTAGGCTACACATCAGAACTACTGCATTATGAATTTCTTCAAGTGCTTCTTTGTATCCACTACTACTTTAACCATGTTCCATCATTTTCCAGAAGACAAAATGGAATTCACTGAGTTTAACCACGCTCACATGGTTTTTACCTCTTAGTTTTATTAATATGTGCATGCTTATACTTGCACGAGTATGTGTGTGTGTGCATGTATGTATGTGTGTGTACACATGCACTCCTGCACTGGTGCTCAGGCTTGCATGCCACAATGTATATGTAAAGATCAGAGAACAACTTGTGGAAACTGATTCTCTTCCTCTGCCTTGTGGATTCCAGGGATGAAACTCAAGCCATCAGGCTTGGTGATGAGCACCTTTACCTGCTGAGCCATGCCTATAGCTGTTTGGGCTTTTTAGATCAAATTTTGTCTCAGTAAAAATTACCCAATCCAAGAGTTATTCTTAAAGGGAAATTTTTCTTTTGCTTGCGAATTGTGTCTGATTATTTCTATGTAAATCACAGTGTTGATCATTTCCCTAAGGTCTTTAGAACACCCGACTGTAGTCCATTTCTTATCTGAATGAAATGGCATGCATCACTAGTTGAATTCTTGAAGTGAGGCTCATCACTATTCTGAGTTAAAGCAGATTGTAAATGAAAGTGATTGCATTTTCTATAAGCTCTGAAGCGTCTCTGAAGCACCTTCCAGCAAGAAGGCAGTCTCAGGACCACACTGGGCTGTTTGAATATCAAAATTCAAATTAGAAATGTTCACACCACTGGTTTTTGTTTGATGAAAGTTGAATTACCATGAGCTAGCAACCTAGGTGAGATAGAACAGATGGGAGATGTTTTAATTTTTATTTATAGACTTTGAATAATACATTTGAGATTTACAGATGGTGCTCCTCATATGTGCTGCTCTCTGACCCTGACACTGTCCATCACAGAAACACTGACATGTGTTTATTTAGCTCTTCTTCTGCTACATTGTTGGTTATATAAGGAAGAGACCATATCTGCCCTGCTCAGACCTCAGTACGGTTCCTGGGTCAATTATAATGATCATGAAACATATATTTGACTATCTAACTCAGTGAATGATGATAATAGGCTGCTTCATGTGACTAGTCACACAGAATGCTCAGACATGTTTCTTGAATATGTCAGTGTAATCATCCGCATCACCTATTAGAATCAAAGACACTTAGAGCCATAAAGCCTCTATGAGTCATTTGGTGCAGCGATTCTCAACTTCAGATGCACACAGGAATCACCTAGGAATAATGCAAAGTGTTCACCTGAGTCCAGTCCCCAGACACCATGATACAGCTGGTGTGGGTTGTGGTCCAAACTCTGAAAGCCATAAACTTTCCCCAGGCATTTACAACACATAGCCAAAGCTGAGTTGTCCTGATCGATCATAACATTTTCCTTTTGGGGATGAAGTTGAGGCCCAAAGAATTTAAGTAATTAGCTTTTCAGTGAGCTGTGGCAAAGGTGATAACCTAGGTGCACTGGTTCTGAAGCCAGTGTGCTTTCTGCTGTACCCACGTTTCTCAGATTGGCTCATCACAAGCCGCTTGCTCTTTTTAAAAGTATATGTTTATTATATACATATTTTGAAATATGTATAACTGTGGAATGGATGAATTGAATTAACAAATGCATTACCTTCACACTGATAATTTTTGTCACAAGAAAACTAAACATCTGCTCTTAGCATGTTTAATTTCTTTGTGTGTGTGTGTATGTGTGTGTGTGTGTGTGTGTGTGTGTGTGTGTGTATCTGTGAGACCATAGACACAATGCAATTATAAACAAAAGATTTATTGATTAGCTGATAGCAGGATGAACAATGTCTGAACCACATTTGAGATTGCCATGTAGGAGGGGTGTGGGGAAGAACTTTTAAAGGGGAAAACCACAAGAAGATCTTCAATATCTACGCAAGCACGCAAAAACTGTTCTGTTCTGCCAGGTTAAGTGGTTAAGGCAACTCAAAACAATCCTTGGGTATCTGTGGAAGCAAATTACAGAAGCAGAAAAAGCAGTTAATTATAGCATAACAAGTAGATAGTCACGGCCGTACACTTTTGGGTGGGGGTCACTGAGTGAGGGTCACTGGGAACTTATCTTCCAGGGACTGGAGTCAGAGACAAATGGCTGGTGGGCACCAAGATAGAGGCTTGGCATAAAATGGAGCTTCTTTAGCCATAACGAGGACCCAACATACATTTTTCATATGGCTGTATAATTGAAGTTCTTGTCAACAGTGCAGGTGGTACTTCTCTCCACATCCTCATGACACTTGTTACCTTGTCCATTCCATAAGAGCTGTTTTAAAGTTTGTAAAGTGGTATCTCATTGTAGTTTGGATTCTCCTATCTTTGATGATGAATGTTTTCTCATTGATCTTCTTTCTGGTCAGGTCTTCTTTTTGAGAAATGTCTATGTAGGTCTTGGTCCATTTTCTAATCAAGCTTACTATAGAGTTGAGCTTCTTGTATATTTGGCTGCTCACCACTCACCAGATGTGCGGTCTGCAGGTACTTTTGCTGATTCCGTAGGCTGTATCTTCATTCCCTTGATTGCTTCCTTGGCTGTGCCTAAGACTTTGAGCTCCAGCAATCTCACTTACAATTCATTTTTGCTTTGGTGGCCTGTTCTTTGGGATTTGGATTAAAAAACAGGAAGGAATAATTGTCCACATCAATATCACAGAGTTTTCCCTATACTTTCTATTATTAGCTTTAAAGTTTAAAGCTCTAAGATCAATATTGAGTTCATTTTTATGTGGTATATAGTAGGTCCTTAATGTCTTTGTTCTGCGTGTGGATATTCACTTGTCTCAAACTGTTGAGTGACAAGAATATCTTCTTGCTCCAGAAAAGATCAAATGACTGTGGAAGCTCGTGTTTGTTACTGAGTGTTCTGGTCTGCTCCATTGGTCAATGTGCTGGTTTTTAATCTGGTACCATGCTGTTTTGACTACTGTAGCTTTAAAGGCGGGTAATTGCACACTTGTAGTTTTCTTCTTTTAAAAAAGGTTTGCCAGGAGGTGATGGCACATACCTTTAATACCAGTACTTGGGAGTAAGAAGCAGGTAGATCTGAGTTCAAGGCTAGCCTGGTCTCCAAAGCGAGTTCCAGGACAGCCAGGAAATGTTTTTTTTTTATTATTATTTTAAATTTTGTGTGTGTGTGTGTGTGTGTGTGTGTGTGTGTGTGTGTGTGTGAAGGTATGTGCACACAAATGCAGATGCCTTCTGAGACTATAGGCATTAGTTCCCCCGGAGCTAGAGCCATCGACAGTTGTGAGATTCGTAGTGTGGGTGCTGGTAACCGAACTCTGGTCCTCAGGAGAATAGCCTGTGCCATTTCTCCAGCCCTCATTATTGGATTTACTAATGTTTTCTTCCTGAGTTTGTATCTAGCACCATCACAGATGCTGGTATTTAATTTTCTTTTCCTATATACAATCCTCTTGTTTGGCTTTGGTTTTTAGGGAGATTTTGGACTCCTAAAATTGGTACTTCTTCAATTTTGTGGGGAAACCTGCAAATTTTTAGTGTTTTAAACTGGAATTAAGAGTTGGTTACTTTTAAAAAATAAAAATCAACAAATCTTTATCTATACTAATTAAGAAACTGAAAGAGAAAGCTCAAGTTTATAAAATTTTAAAACGAGACATTACACTGGTACCAGAGAAATACAAAGAATCCTGGAGGCCATCATGAACCATTGTATACCAAGAAATTAGAAAATCTAAAAGAAAATAATGTACCCTGGTCTTATACAGCCTGCTAAGACTGAATCACAATGAAGTGTACAGGGTAATCTGGACAGACTAATAATGGACAAAGAGTTTGAATCAATAATATCTTCGTTAAAAGAAAAACCCAGAGCCTGATGCCTCCACTGTGGAAGTCTACAGATCCCTTCACTTACTCTGATATTTCATATTTGCCTTTAAATAGAATCCCATTTTAGCAAGAACATTTAAAGAAAACCTTATATCATTTGGTAACTAGAAAATTTATTTTTCTTACCACACACAAATGGGGAAAAAGGAAAATAAAATATCATTAAGTTCTGGGTATATAAAATTACCCATTGAAGACTTGTGATCTGAAGTATTTTTTTCTTTCCTTTTCCAGAACTGTAAGAACAGGAATAAACATATTGCTGTGGCTAGTTTGAGGCATTCTCCTGTCTAAGACACCGGAAAGAGAGTTGAAACCGAGTGCTAGATCCAGATGAATTACATAGTACACTCTAAAAGAACTGGTTCATTCTTTTATTGATTAATAATCCGACACACTGATCTCGGGTACTGCGATGGTGTCGTGCATACTCTGGATAGTGCTGTGCATGGATGTAGTTGGAGCAAACAGGTTGCACTGTTGTACCTTCAATGGGCATTTAATCAGAATGGCTCAAGATCAAAATATAAACTCCTGCTGGCAGAAGACTTCTGGATAAAGCCTGATGTTTTGGTGCACACCAGCCATCCCAGGACTTGGGTAGGGGAGGGAGAAGGATTTCATGTTTGAAGCTGGCCTGGCCAACATAGTGAGACTCCATCTCAAAAAACTAAAATCAACCAGCCCAACAAAGAATGGAACATGATTTTTTTTATGTGCCCTAAAGGGGGAAAAAGCCCACCAATTCATTCTTTCCCCCTCCCTTTTTCTTCCTCTCTGTCCTGAGTGTGTGTGTGTGTGTGTGTGTGTGTGTGTGTGTGTGTGTGTGTTTCTGAGAATTTGACACAGGGTATTGCAGCCTACCACTGACATGATAGTCTCAGCCCCATTGAGTTATATCTCCAGCCCTCCTTTTATTTTTTACCCACTTTTATTGGGCAGCTGGGATTGCAGGCCTGTGCTACCAACCACCACCAAGCTTATCTGAGAACTTCTTTTATTGAATGTAAAGCTCTTCAAATTATTAAGGAATGGAATCTGATATAGGCCACAGACGAATACTGTCTAAGCAACGTGTTCTTCTGTTCAGTCGGGAAAGGGTGGAATGAGGTCGGAAGAGGAGAATGGATGACCCTATTCCGACCCTCAGCTAAATCAAATTGATTAGGCCATGTTTTCTAAGGCACATTTTTATTTTCTGATGTAACTTTTTTTCCTTATCAGATATCCCTCAGGGGTATGAAGCAATGGCATATGACATACCCTAAGGCTGATGGGAAATGCTGCAAGGAGAATCCCAAATGAGAACATATTTGCTGGATCAATCGATCCTTATTTACATTCTCCATAGGATGCAAATTCACTGGCCCTTATTCTACCTCTTCTGTGAGGGATGAAAGAAACACCTTTGTCTGCTGGTCCTGCTCTACAGTTGTCTGATAGACACCAGCCCCGTGACCTGGCTTGTCTGCAGAAAGCCAGCTGAGATCTGCGGCTCTGTCTCCAAGCATGTGATAATACAATCACTTTCCTTTCAACACACTGGCGACGAGCTCTCCCCTGCCAAGAACTGAACGCTTTAATTCTCTGATTCATCAAAGCCTTTCCCTATACACGGTGTCAAATAACCTTTCTTTTCAGGAGGTCTAATCCAATAGCCTCCCAGACCTCAGGATGAAACCAAGTGGCATGGACACGGTGTGCAAGAAGAACAAAGGAGAAACAATTCAAAGCTGAACCACACATTACATAATGCCTTGTGTTAGAAAATCCATGACCCATAAAACACTTACCTACTTTGTGGGCCTTAAATAAAGCAGAGTGGTGTGCTTTTTCTACAGTCATCTTTCTGTCAGAATTCCAATTATTCTATGACTCAGTGGGTATGTGTCTAGCTTTTTAAAAACTCGGTTTTTTATTATTTTGGATAAGAATAAAGAAGTTTTCATATGAAGTTTGCAAAGGAAAAGTTTATTTAACAATGAGCTGCTGCATCAAACACGTACACATTTTAGTTCATGTTTGAAAGAACGTATTTTAAGTGATGCTTTAAGAATTGAGGCTTACCCTTATGGGAGGAACATTGTCTTTGGTCTCTCTATCTGAATGTGCAGCACTTCATTCCTGTCTAGAAACTGACTGAAATCCGTGCAAGGATGGGGGTACCCAAGCAACCTTGGTTGGGCGTTGGGATACAGACCACCAAATAAGAAGACTAATCAATGAATACACACACGAGAGGCAAACCCCACTCCCCCATTTTCACAAACCTTGTCACAGGCCCTTTTGGCTTCCATCTACAGCACAGCCTGGCTAGCTGTTCACTTCGTAGACTTCCACCGTCCCCGGGGCACTCAGCTAGACCATCTTTCTCAGAACCCTTGCACACTGGGGTAGCCTGGGACTTGTTCTACCAGTGGGGTATGTTCCAAGTGAGGCATTCACCTTCCTCTGACCCAGTAAAAGCTCGGTGTGTCTTTCACCCCACCCTGCTCACCGGGATCCAAATAGTCCTCTAAAGGGAGTTGAAGTCACAGAACAAGTGGCCACATACCAATCATTCATATGCATGTGGCTGTGAACTTGGAGAAAGTGAGAAATAAAATTTTGTTATCTTAAATCACTGCAGTTTGAGTATTTATGTCTATCTATCTTAGTAGTAGCTCTCAATGCACTACCTGTTGCTGCTCTTCTGTCTTTTGGTCCCTCTGTCTTGCTCCTATTGTTTCTCATGATGAGTTCCTCTCTCAGTCTCCGTGTGTGTGTGTGTGTGTGTGTGTGTGTGTGTGTGTGTGTGTGTGTGTTTGCACGCGCTTGTGAGCATGTGGTGGCCAGAGATTGACAATGAGTGTCGGCCCTTATCACGCTCCATTCAGCCGCACTGACTGGATAATGAGCCCTGGGGATTCACACACCGGTCTCCACATCCCTGGGACTGGATTTCCAGATGTGTGCCACTGTGCCTAGCTTTTACATGGGTGCTGTGGATCTGAACTCAGGTACAAATGCTTTCATAGTAAGCATTTTACCCATGGAATCATCTCCCTAGGCTGTAGTCTCTATTCATGACTAAATTAAGGTGTCCGTAGGCGGATGTGGGATTAAAGCCTTCACTGTGTCGAAATGACAATCAGACTTAATTAAGAGAAAAAGTTTTACCAATTCAACTTTTTTTTTTTTTACAAAGTTTACAATTTAAATACTTGAGGTAATTTTCGTTGAGTAACTGTTTGAGTGGATAGTGACACAGACCGTGTAATTCCCTTGTGGGAACTGTGACAAATGTAGCTATCTCCACACTAATGACCCAGCAGATATGTACATGACAACCCTTTGTTGATAAGCAAAAACACCAATATGCACGGACTTACAGATCAATATTTGTCTGAGCACTCTGCTGACTCTGGATGGCTATGTGGCTTCTGGACTTTGTAACCTGGTGTCAAGCTGTAAGCAGCAGGGGGAAAGGCATCAGAACTGCTTATGACTGGATGAGGCTCCCAAAAGAATTCAAAAAGCTTTAAAGAGCAAACAACCCTCCCAGCTAATGTTCCAGTGTGACCTTGCTTAGGACCTTGTAACCACACTCTCTCAGCCGTGGTGTGGTAGTTAACCCTTTCTCCTCTTTGCTTCTTGCCCGGAGATGGTAGTCCTGAAATCGACTTCAAGGCAGCCCCAGGGGCTGTCCCACAAAGTGGACCCCAGCTGCTCAGTCTGGATTCAACCAGAAAAACTTCATTTTAATGTGCTTTGAACATTGCGTTTTGACATAGGAATTTATTTTTGTTTGAGAGTGGGAGACCCCCATGGCCTTACAGGTTTCATACCATCTCATTAGGTTTCCTAAGAATACCACATCAACGCCTAGTTTGAGTCTCGCAAACCTCCAGTGATGTCCTTATCTGAATCTACAGCACATCACTTCCTGGGCTCCCACACAGTCCCACTCACATTCCACCATCTCCACTTGCTGGATGTCTCATAGACACCTCCTCGGAGTATTCCTGGAATAGAGCGCTTCTTCCTGCCTACTCTTCCATCTCAACTGATGACATCACCATCCTCCTGATGACTTAGCACGAAGCTCTGAACCATACTCACCTCTGTTATCTACTTTCTCCGCATCTAGCCAGTCCTGCTTGTAAGCTATCTTAAACTATCATCTCCTTCCTCTCCATCCTTACTGCCCCTGCCTTGGTGTGGAATCTGGTCATCAATCTTCATCCACCATTACAAGACTCCAAGCAACTCGGACAGAAATCTGCCTGATGATTGTTCTGACCATTCTCTAAACTACAGAAGGTTTTGCTATTTAGTTGCAACTTTGTAGTTAACAAACTGCTTTCTTGTACATTCCCACACTTAAACCTCACAATATTCTATTTTTTGTTTCCTTTTTTAATATGGTATTTTGTTGATTTCTGAGAATTTCAGTTAGTGTATTTTGATCATATTGGCCTTCCACTCCTTCCCCTAATTCCTCCCAGATCCACTCCACCTTCCACCCTGCCCCCTACCACTTGTTCTCTTTTTGAAAATAGCCTACCAAGTCAGTTTGTGCCAGGCCTCCACTGGAACAGGGCCAACTCACCAGGGGCGGCACTGACTCTCCCTCTCTTCGAAGTTCATGGCTCCTCCGATCCCCTCCCCAGCTCTAGACTAGAATGTTAACGGCTTCATCTTGAGCAGATCTTGTACAGGCAATCACAGCACTGTGAGTTCATGAATATAGAGGGCCTGTCATGTCCAGAGTAAATTGCTCTGCTCTGGTCCTCTGCAGCTTTGGCTCTTGCAGTCTGTCTGTCCCTCTTCTCTGACGGTCCGTGAGACACTGCGGAGGAAGGGTGTGATACAGAAGCAACATTTGTGGCTGAGCACTCCACTGGCTGACACTCGTTTTCTGCACTTTGGCCAGTTGTGAGTTTCGGCATTGAGCAGGTCTGCGCTGCACTAGTCTGTGAGCCCAGAGAATGGAATTTAGATGAAAGGTTGATAGTACGCTTTAGCAGAATAATGGTAGTAGGCTCACCCCAGGAGACTGTGAGCTCCCCAACCAGGGGATGTTGGCCAGTAAATCTCACAACATTCGAACAAGAAGACATTGTCATTATGCTAATTTACAACAGGAAACTGAGGCATGAATTGTTACATTGACCAAGGAGTCTTGTAAAGATACAGAGCTCTGGGATTTGAACCCAATTCTGAAGACTGTGTGTGCCCATGACACAGAGTCAAGCATGCATCACCACTTCCTTCAGGGGCATTCCAGAGCTTTCAGTGCAGAGATCTTTAGAACTGTGTCTTAGAGCTTCTTCATGGGCTCATAGCATGAGTTGGAACTCACATTCTAGTGTGAAACCTTGGATTAGTTAGGCAAGCTCTCTCAGCCTCAACTCCTTAATCTGCAGAGTAAAGCAAATCCCCTGGAGCTGTCATGGGCCTTGAACAAGATAGAGCAGTGATGTTCTCTGTATTTTGCTTGTATTGAAGTGCTCAGTAGTGTTGGATGTTGGTACCAATTTAACAGTGCTTGATAGTTTGATGTCAACTTGACACAAGCTAGAGTCATCTGACAGGAGGGAGCCTCAATTGAGAAAATGCCTCCCTAAGACTGGGCAAGCCTAGAGAGAGCAGTTCTCAACCTGTGGGTCATGACTCCTTTGGGGGCTGCATATCAAATATCCTTCATATCAGATATTTACATTACAATTGATAATAGTAGCAAAATTACAGTTATGAAGTCTCAATGAAGGAATAATTTTATGGTTGAGGGTCACCACAACATGAGGAACTGTATTAAAGGGTTACAGCATTAGGAAGGTTGAGAATGCAGCTGTAAGGCATTCTGTTAGTTAGTGATTGATATTGGAGGGCCCAGCCCATTGTAGGTGGTGCCACACCTGGGCTTGGTGGTGCTGGGTTCTCTTTGAAAGCATGCTGAGCCAGGCGGTGGTGGTGGTGGTGGTGGTGGCGCACACCTTTAATCCCAGCACTCGGGAGGCAGAGCTAGATGGATCTCTGTGAGTTCCAGGCCAGCCTGGTCTACAGAGCAAGATCCAGGATAGGCACCAAAACTACACAGAGAAACCCTGTCTCGAAAAACAAAAAACAAACAAACAAACAAACAAACAAAAAAAGAAAGCAGGCTGAGCAAGCCACAAGGAGCAAGCCAGTAAGTACCACTCCTCCATGGCCTCTGCATCAGCTCCTGCCTCTGGGTTTGAGTTCTTGCCTTCCCTCAATAGACTCCGTGTATGTAAGCCAAATAAACCGTTTCCTCCTCAAGTCCTGGTGTTTCTTCATAGCAACAGTGACCCTAACAAAGCAATTTATCTCTTGCCATTTGCTTTCCATTTTCTACCAGTAAGGAAGACCAGATCACAATCTGTTACTTTCTCTATGAAGCCTTAAAAATATCAGTTGATGACCAGCTCTCCTCCACAACACCATATGTATCTTCCTGTATAGTTAAATACATGGTCAGATAATAAAGTCCTTAAGATCAGCATGGGATTTCTTCTGAGACTGGTCAATAGGTCTTCAAGAATGTCCCTGCCCATAACAGATTCGAATTGCTCTTCCTGCAAATGCTTCTGTCTGGTTATTTCTCTTATCTTTGCACTGCCTCTCCTTGACTCCTCCCACTTCTGACCTCACATTTGTCCTTGAGGCTCTTTCCTCTCCAGCTTGCCAGCCCTGACTCATCTGGGGAGAGTGAGCAGATCTCAGCCCCAGGCCAGCATGTGTCTCCAGGCAAGGCTATTGCCCTTACTCTATCCTCTGTTCACAGCTTTTTTGGTGGCGCCAATACCCAAGGACTGACCAACAATGGTTCCAACAAGAT